CCTGTTCAAACAGTTCCCAAGCATCTGTGGTTCACAGCAAAGTAAGCCTTGTTTGTTTTCCTCTCTGTTTCATGGGCCATCACTAGGTCGTCTGGAATCCTGCTCGCAACTGGGTGGTAGGAGTGTTAGCATCATATGAGTGTCAGTCCGAAACAGTACAGCTCTTAAGAATTCATGTATCAGAGCTCCTGTTAGGCCGTTTTGAAACGAATTTGCTTATTTCATAATACAAAAAAAAAAATCAAGGGAATTACAAGGCTTAGAGTTAGGGGCCACTTTACTTATTGGGTTGCAAACAGTATATCATTTAAAATAAGCCTGACAATCTTCATATCTGGATTCTTAGCTAGCAAAACACAAAAGTAAAACACAAAACTAAACTGTTAAACTATTTTTTATAATGATTTCAATAGTTTCTATAAGAGTTGAAACTGTTTTGACTTATGCAAGAGAGATACAATCTTCAAGAGACTGTATAAAATCACAAAAAACAAATACACACAAATTGATGAATCTCACAAAATGTTAAGTGTAAAGACCATGAAACCTGTTTTATGACCATTATTAATATTATTTTATTTATCTATTTATTTTTGCATTGTGACATTTTCATTACTCTCATTATGGTCATGCAAAATAAAAATGATATATATTTAAATTGTCAAGCATTTGTTATTGTAAGCATTTGTTTGTTATAAAACATTATATTTACTTAAATCAGCATAAATTAGAATATTATAAAAATTATATTATAATAAATGTTCTAATATAAATTATATTATATAATAATAATAATATAAAAAATGCTGATTTAAATAAAAGCAGTCCTTTCAAAGCATAATTTCCTGCCATAATAAATGAGCATGTAAAGAGAAACATCGAGAATAATGTGAATGACCAACAATAAATAAATAAATAAAACAATGAAACATCCACGTTACATACATTAGAGAGAATCTGGGAATGTCATAATGCAAGAAAATTCACCTTCATGCAAAATATAATATCTTATTTTATCTTTTGAAGAAAAATATGACCTGAAAATGTTTTCATAAGGTTGACCCAAACATCCTCAAAAAAAAAAAATCTTCATATTGAGATCCTTTCAAGAGATGCCAATCTCTCGTTGGGTTTTATAGCTCGAGTCTTTGTATGTTTGTGAGTGCGCTGGCCTTTCTGCTAGGTTTGTTTGGTTTCAGATCACAGTAACCAGGCTTCCACAGTTAAGCAGTGCCCATCCTAGGTCTATTCCTTAAACCAACACAGAGACACAAAAGAGGAGGACAGAGCCCTGAGGAATCCCTCTGTCACTGGCGGACCACCCACTTAGGGAGCAGACAAGCCTGTTAGGCCACACGGCACTCCATTCTAGGGATTTTGAACTTCAATGGGACCCACAAGGAAGCCGAAGGGGTCGCCAACGCACCTCCTGCTCTCCGTGAAGCCAAGCACAGTGGAGAGTGAGTGAGACGTGATATCAGGGTGGGTGGCTGATGGAAAAGCCGAGCAGGACCACACCGTATTGCCGTAAGAGGAGCTGAGCTGATGGGACCAAACAGTTCGTTTACGTTTCCTGACCGGACGCCCCACACAGGGGGGAGGGGGGCATGACAGGTTATGTCAAAGGTCGATCCACCTGCTAAGAACAAAGCTTGTTGAGACTGTAGCCCTATTTCTGCTCTTCTCAGGAAGGCCAATTCAGCTCCATAGGAAACTTAGCGTGTTTGTTATGATGAACTTGGTGTGTGTGCTTTGAATTTGGACTGCAAAAGGCCAGTTTACCCATGCAAGAAAACAATCCACCGTCTCAGTTGTAATAACACGACCCAGCCTACAGCAGTCCGCTTATCCCAAACCACGTCAGACAAATAAAATCAGCAGGGAAACAGACGCAAGAGAAACGCAGTCTCACAGGCGTGAAATTCGATTTGGGCTCAAAGATGTGCAGTCACCCTTATTTGGCTGTTCTGTGCCACTTTGAAAAACAATTGGAAAGTGTAGTAACTACCAATATGGGATATTCAATGGACGATATTGACATTTAAAGAGAACAGTGGTTGATGACTCATAAAATGTTGCTATATAGCTGTATTTTACACTATAATCATGGCAAATAGGCTAAAATACATACAATTGCTGAAATGCAATGAAATGCTTATTTTGCACATTATATAGTCAAAACTCACACAAAAAAATATCAATTAAATCCAATAATCCAATGCTGTTGGTAGATTTTTTTTTTGTTAATTGTCCACTTGTTTTGCACACTATATACTCAAAATTCACAATAAATAAACAAACAAACAAACAAACCAAAGCTGTTGTGGATTTGACAAAGCAGCACCAAAGTTTTTTTTAATTGTCCAGGCTGGCATAGAATCTAGAAATGTCTAATGCTAAATAAATATAGGCTAAAAAAAAATGTCTAATGCCAGATATATATAAGCTAACTCTTACTATAATCATCTCACATATCCAATTAATGTACAAAGTGGAAAAAAAATTGAGCCAGTTTAAAACATTTTAAACTATGATAAAGAAAAATACAATTAACAAAAAGCATGTGAAGACTGCTACAAAACAGCTCATTTAATGAAATTATATAAATTATAACTTATCAAAGAAATGTTATGATATACTTCCACAAATGAATAATAATTATTTTTGATTGCACTGCATATTCAAAAGTTTAATAACTGAATCTGATAGTCCTTCTAGAGAAGCATCGGTTTTACAAACCAATGTCCTATTTAATGACAATTATAAAAACAATTCTGGTTCACTAATTTGATTGACACGTATTTATTCAAACAGTATTGAATTTACTTTCCTGTTTGTATTAATCCAATTGTCTGTGTTCACTGAATGCAATTAAAGTTCTATGATTTACAACATACTTTCATTGGCAGAGCAAAAATAAACAAACAAAACAAAAAAAAAACTTACTGCACTGTGTCCCGATATTAATTTTTTGTTTACAGAACTGCTCTCTTATAGCAATACAACACTCACAAATGTGCTGTAACAGTGCTGATATTGCTAATCAATCCTTATATACATGTTCAAAACACCTTACTCTCAGAATTGAATCAGCAATGTGCTTGTCGTTTTAGAGGAACATGCACATTGTTATGTTGATGTCGGCTAACTGCCACTTCCTGATAGCTGCACACTCTTAATCTGTGGTAAAGGATAATAGCCTTAAACTGAACAAACATTCAAGCTGATTAAAGAGAGAATTGGGTGGGATCAATGCTTCATGCTTATCTGCCACCGAAAAGGAAGGAGATGGCTTTAATACAGGTGACTGCAATGCAAAACTTCACACAAAAAAAACCCTACAGATAATATGAATGATTGTAAAACGTAAGTTGTACGCGTGAGTGGCAGACACAATGTCTGTGCACCAAAAACACACAAACCCATAAAAATCAGGCATGCAGCCATATACCCAGAGGCGCACATACACACGCTTGGCGTCTAAGATATCAGGATACATGCTAAGTAGATCCTGTTCCAGGTCTTGGCCTCCACCCATCACTAGGATGTAACGCTTTGGGTTGGGCTCTTCTACTGCAGGATGTGTCAGCACATCAGAGAAACAGCTAACCTGGCATTAACTCCGAAAAAAACAAACACACGCAACGCAGAGGTCATGCTATGAAGGATCGAACCTCATCGGTGGCCTTTACAATGCACGTTGCTGTTTGACAGCGAGTGACTGAAGCTCATATGAGGATCGGTGAAGCTCTCCAACTTATATACATAGATTAGATCATACAGATGGAGACTAGACAGTGCCAATGCAAAGCATAAAGAGGCAGCAATGACACTTCACAACAAATGCACCACTGTTACAATTATTATATACGGAAAAAGTATAAAATGTCCTTCTATATATACAGTAAATACACACACACTATTGTTCAAACGTTTGGGGTCAGTAAGATTTTTTAATGTTTTTGACGTATCTTTATATTCACCAAGGATGCATTTATTTGATCAAAAATACAGTAACCACAGTAACACTACAAAATATTATTACAACTTAAAATAACTTTTCTGTTGTAATATATTTTAAAGAGTAATTTATTCCTGTGATGCAAAGCTGAATTTTCAGCATCATTACTCCAGTCTTCAGTGTCGCATGATCTTTCAGAAATCATTCTAATATTACACAGTTCCTATTATTATTATTATTATCAACGTTTTGCTGATTATTTTTGCAACATTATTTTTTCCCCAGTATTCTTTGATAAACAGAAAGATGTAAAGAACAGCATTATTTAAAACATAAATCTTTTTAAACATTATAAATGCATTTCCTGTTACTTTTGATCAATTTCATGCATATATGCCAAAAAAAGAGTATTACTTAATAAAAAATTATCTTACTAAAACTTCCCAAAAATTTTGAACAATAATGTATAGTATATAGAACATTGTACAAAGTTATGTGGATATTCATATAGATGCTAAAGAAATATAGTTTAAGACCAACAGGACTCAACAACAAAAAAACAAAAGGTTCTTCAGACAGGGTACTATATGCTAATACCATATTCCACTTTGCAAATACCATGGTACATGAATATTTAGTGTCATGTTTTTCACATCTTATACCACAGGACTTTTAGTAAGAGTATTGCCTGTAATATGCAGGCTTTAATAAACCTTTATAGGTTTCCAAATACATGTCATTCTTAGAACCCTCTGATATTTGACTGTTTTCAAAAGCCAATAAATACTAATTACAGTCTTTAAGGTTAAAACAATGAAGTAATGTCACAGAACTAAACGCTGAAGACACTGTTCCTGAATATAAGACAGGATAAGGATGCCCTCTAGTGCCAATACTAAAGAATGCACTTTTCTCCAAAAGTGTGAATACTGTATATTACCAAAAACAAAACGTTACCTTATCAATAACAAATAAAGCAAAAAACAAAAACAATAACCCCTCTGTCAAATACAAAGGACAGCATTCTCTTCATACTCACCTTTGTACATATCAACCAGTGAATCCTTCAGTTCCTGTTTGTGCATCCATGCATCCTCTTCACTCTCTGAGAAGCTTTCCCTTAAAATCAACAGAGGATACGTATCAGTAACTTATTGCTGTTATTCTTCAATGCTAGTGTTTGAGCTCAGCGTGTTGAGTGGGTGCTCTCAGTGTGATTTAGACTAATGTCTTCTGCAATGTCCTCATGAGCTCAGGGCTCACATATCAAAAGCTGAGTATGTGTATGGCCAGCCCTACGATTACTTTCCTTTCTGCAAAAATATCAAAGTAGCTGCTACATACATAATGAATGGGTTCCTATGACTGGGATATTCCATATTACTCCAAAGCACAAGGGTGTGATATAGTAACCATACAATGGTATGGGTTTGAATTTTTCTTAGCATGCAATTATTCATGCAGATGAGCTGGAAATCGGTAAAAAATACCTGGCAGACCCTGTCAACCAGGCCTGTGATGAAAACAGCCCTATGTGCAACCAAAACTCACGCAATGACAAATAAAATAAGCCTAATATAAAACCTACAATTTCCTTTAATTTATATGTCTTGTTAATGCAAGTGAGGAGTATTTAAATGCATTTACAGTGCCTTGCGAAAGTATTCATAATTAATTTTTTTCACATTTTGTTATGTTGCGGACTTATGATGAACTTCTTTAAATTATTATTTTTTCTACATCATTCTACACTCCATACACCATACTGACAAAGCAAAAACAGAATTGTCACAACTTTGTAAATTTATTAAAAATAAAAAACTGAAATAAGTACATTGCATAAGTATTCTAACTAAATATTTAGCTAGCTCACCTTTACAGTCTCAAGTCTTTTTTGTTTGATGTGACAAGCTTTGCTCATCAGCATTTGGCAATTATCTGCCATCCTTCTCCTCACCTCTTCACCTCTCAAGCTCTGTCAGGTTGGATGGGGGCAGACGCACATTTTCAGGTTTCTCCAGAA